TATTTATTACAAAATAGTGGGTTCTTTTACTGGTTTGAGCTGGGTTGAGCTGGGTTGAGCTGGGTTATGTTTGAAATGTAAATATATATATTTTTTTGTATTTATTATTTTTTTTAGTGATTTAATGTTTTCACACATTGATGAAATGAATCACTTGTTTTTCATATTGATTATGAAACAAATTAGATTTTGTAATCCTTGTGTGAATATTTAAATATCTTTTCTTTTGCATAATAAAAATTTATTTGTTTGTTAAGAATATGAAACTATTTTATATTCTTGGGTTAATCACCCTGGTATTTACTGAGCTTCATATATAAATTAATACAATTATTATTAATCTTGCAAAATTTTCTAAATAAAGAATATATAATGAATTATGTCACCTACGTATACAATATCTAAGTACGTAGTAAATTAATACAGTCGATTATTATTAGGTATGCGACTATCAAGATTATACGATTATCTTTATCTTTTTTGATCATTAAATTCACGAGCCAATATTTCACAAAATTTTGTATAAGTCCAATATTTGTTTCAATGTTTATTTTACTTACAAACAAGAGATTAAGAAATTCTTTGGAATAATTTTTAGATTATCATTCTCGGTAATTTAACATGTGCACCAAAGTCCGTGTGCATAAATAGAATTCGGGTATTAGGAAGCTATTATGATGGGGTTTTTAAGAATAAGATGCAGAAAATCAACCATGTAGAATGTGAAAATGATGAAATTGCGCTTACTTTACAAAAATGGACTAGACATAAAGAAAAGTAATGTAGAAATTCGTGTTATTAGTTTCGTAAATACTAATTATATTAATGTATTAGTATGCATATATATATATATATATATATATTTACAATAGTAAATCCGCTTAGTAACATTAACGTCTATCATTAAATATGCATTGACCATACCCGATACGCCATTTCACAATATTTTGAATATACAAAAATGCAATCTTGTTTTAAAAGAACCTTTTGTTATCACCACGAAGTCCAAGAAAGGTTGTATTCATAACCGGACCATATCTGAAACTAGGAGGTCACATATGACAAAGAATAGTTTCAACGTTCTAAATTTTCAATTTAGATCGTTACATTGTAACAAATATGTGTGTAAAACATTTTTGTGTATAATTTTTTAAATTCTTTAACCTATTTTTTATTATGTTTTAACTAAAATAAGTAACAAAAAATAAATAATATGTACTGTCACGCATTTTGTGTAATCACCCCTTCGGGTCATGACGACAATAGGATGGAATGTTCTTATGCAAAATACCCCAAAATACTTACTTTCTAAAAATTTGTACGTACTGTACTGTACGTACATTACCTAACACTAAGGATGATCTCTCAACCAGATAAAATCTATAATCGTTTGTGCATAACGAAAATCGCAAGAATTTTAGTACTATATTGCATGGATTAAAGTACCTGGTTGATATGATTTTTTTACATAATAAATCATTATAAACCATGTATATTGCATATTACATACATAAAAACTGGTCTACACTAATTTTCATGCTGAGTACTTTAGTCCACGCGATACGGTAATACGTACTACCTGGTAGTACGCTTATTCATGTGAGTGATCATCATATATTCAACCAATCAGCATCATTCACGTATCCGTGATGATCCTTTGCTTCGCTCTGAACAATAAAAATTTCGGTATCTATTCTACTCCAAATATGAATTAATCATTTTTAGTCTAAGAATATAAGAGGGTCGGCGTACTGCTTGTGGAATTATAGTGTATAGAAATCAATTTAGTGTTATTAATTGGCCAAAAATATAAATAAATCTCAATATGCATATATATATAATTTAGGTGTTATTGTAGTTACAAAAATCAAATCTTTTATCAATTTCTTTAAATAATTCTTTTAAATAATTCCTTTAATACGTATATGATAACAAAAATCAAAGCTTTATACGTGCGAACTAATTTCAATTAATTAAACCTTTTTATCTTAAAATTTATATATAGTAAATATATACTAAATTTATAATTTTTGTACTAGGCAAATGCATAGTGATAGCGTGTGTCCGGATTGAATTATAAATATTGACAAATGTCAATCGCTAATTTGCTGTTTAGTTTCATGTGATGATCTCTTTAATCGCGTATGATAAGGATTGTATTCAGTCTAGTCGAATATCATATTTAGTCTTAGCCAACTAACTATACATTGTAGTTTAATTAGACTGATTCTGTAGTCGGCTAAACCAATTCCAATCTCTACTACGTGTGGAACAAACAGGAATTGTAATAATGTGAATTAATTATGAGGTGTATATCAAAACGTAACGATGCAATGGTTGGTTCGGCTCACTAAGGTTTTAAATGTACTATTGTATGTAAATCAAATGTGGTTCTATGTGAAAATTACTACGTATGTGTTGATTTTGTGTAATAGTCGTGAAGATCTAATAAAAAACGATAATATTAGAACACAGTGAAACCTGGGTTTGCGAAATAGTGAAATCTGCTTTGTAGATCGTGAAATCTGCGTTTAATTTTTGGTCCGGAATGGGCCGGGCTAAACCCGGAAATTTGTGGGCCGGGCCGGGCTTGGGCCTAGTTCGGACTTGCATTTTTGAGCCCATTATTATACTTGCCGCCCAAATCCAAAACTATTATAGTTTACTAATATCTCATAAACTTTATTAATAATCTTATTTATATATATTCTTATAGTTATATATAATATATCCACAAAATATCAAAATTATTTTGTTTTAATTTTTTATAAAAACAATTTATTTTTTGAGGTTTGGATTTGTTTGAGTTTGCCAACATGGCCCGCTAAAATACTGTACCCGGAATATAAGTCAAAAATGCCTCAATTAATTTGATTTGCACTTGAAGGATGTTTAGAATTTTCGCGTGATGATATTGAAGTCTACCTAGAGTAAGACTTAATGCAGTGTTCTACGGTAGTTATTTAAGGTTTATCTGATCTGAGTAACCAATCGAAATAATACGTAAAGTAGTAGTAGTTTACAAAAATTTGAAAATATAGATAGAATCCAAATAAGTATACCATGTAATTTTGTACTCAATTATGGATGATTAAGTTTTCTTTTATGCTTTCTTAGACATTCGATCTTAGTGAATTTTATATAGTAGCAAAAACATTTCACCTTGAGTTCTACATTAAAGTAATCTAGAATAATAATCGAATTGTTGCAACCCCAATTATTCGAACCAAGTCGATATAATTTTACGCAATAAAATTTTGTATCTTTTATTTCTCATCTTTTAATTAATTTGTTCTCAATCCGACCAAATCAACTTTTAAGAATCTTTATAAATAAATGTAACTTTTAAAAATTATGATTGGTTAATTTTATAGCCGGTTTACAAGCCGCTTTGAAAATTAAGGTGTAAGGAGAACTAATTACTTATCTGTTATGTGAGAGAACAATACTTTACGTCATCAATAATGATATAACTATATCGTATTAACCAAATTCACTTGCCTTTAAATACTTATTTTATAGAAGTTATAGAGCATATAGATAAGTATATAATCGTTATACATTTACACTATAAATTAATAGATCTACTAAGCAAATTTGAAAGTTCGTTCACTAATATGAAGTTGCCGTTTTGTCAGTAATATTAGATTGTTAGTCTTGATTTGTATTAGTTTTCATAAAGTGTATATACATACTTATTTTGCTGCATTTGATTAATTTTCTTGAAGTAAAGAAACATTTTAAAATTTAATTAAAAGAGATTTAATAACCGTTATATAAGTTTATACTTATCACAACTTTGGTAACGTTTATTTTTATAAAAATTTATACTTTCAACTACAATTAACTTGCAACAATTACAAAAAAAAAAACTACATACTTTAATTAAAATTATTAACTTTCAAAAAAAACTTTTTATTATATAAAAAAACTATTTCATAATATATTTTATTATAAAAACTATAAACTTTTAATTGTAAATAAATCTTGTTTCGCCCGATTTTCATTCAATTTTTGATTGATTCTCTTTAATCAATACCGAATAATCAACAAATCATCTACCTAGTATGAAAGAAAGAGAGAGATAAGTACTTGAAGTAACCTAGATACCTCAGAATATAGCACGTCAACAACCACCAGTGGTGGCATAACCTAGAAGCCTAGGAGCGATATTCGAGGGTTTTTCATATAAAAAAGGTTCAATTAACTTAAAGAGCTTAATATTAATACTCATCTGTTAACCGAAAAATATAAAAAATAAAATAAAAAAAGAATAAATATTAAAAGTGAAAAATCTTTAAAAGAAAAGAAATATATAAAAAAAGGTATAAGTGAAAGGTATAAAGAAAAAGCAAGAGAAAAGGCAGTTCTTATATATCTTTTTTTTTGCTAACACGTTCATTGTTTTGAGATCCTCAAAACACGTTTAATTTTGTAGTCAACTTCGCGTTTTGTGTTAATAAAAATCTGTTTATCAAGCAGGGATGTTATTTTTTGTTTACGCAAATCGCGTGTAACGCGAAGTTTTAAAATCACGTGCAACGCGGTTTGCGTGTAACGCGAAGTTTTCAAAAATCACGTGTAGTGTGAAAAATCGCGTATATTCAAAAAAAAATTGAAATTACCTTTTACACTATAATAAAAAGCGTTCCTTACAGAATTTTACTACCTCGGAACATATTGCTACAGCAGGAACAATTTGATTGTTAAACACGAATTCTTTGATACAACTAGTATATTAATTATCCGAGAAACCATTGAATTATCTTATTAGGAAACCGGCTTTTAGAAATCATACGCAATTACATACATTCCTGATACGAATACAAAAATTTATTTAAAAAACAAAAAGTCTTTTTTATTAAGAAATTGTATATTGCATATGTAAATACACAAGTAATATAGATTAACTTTCCTCATATTGATATCTAACTAAATTCACACTACTTATTATCAATTACAACTATTTGTGTATATAAATGAATTATAATCGTTCGTATCTATAAACTAATCTATATACTTCCAAAAAGAGTATATTAATAAAATATATATATGTATAAAAGAAAAATTCTATACCACGTCCAAACTTTATTTAAATAATTCCTATAGAAAATACTACGCCATCTCCAATCATCATCTTGTTTTTGATTATGATAATACTTACGAAATTCATTAATCCAAAATATTGATGATGTTATAACTATAAGTCCAAAAATATCATCAAGTCCTAATGCCTCGGTTTGAAAAACAGCTTGGAAAAATGCCCAACAAGTGAAAATGCTACTGCTAAATTAAACATTGAATTTGAAAATATTCCTAATTTAAAAATACAACTTAAAGCATTGAACATATCAAAAAATACAAAGCATGTAAATGTCTACGTAGATAAAATCAATTAAAATGTAAATTAAACCTCAATGCTAATAAATACAAAATAAAACTTGAATATATTACCATCGTTGTGTCCCTTGTTGTAACGATAGTCTCGCATTTCAGTAATATAGGTAAATAAGGTACCAGCAACGATAATCACAGAGAAAGTAAGTGCACGCATGATCAGTGTTGATGTAAGTATAGGAGCATTTTTCTTTCGTGGAGGTTACCTCATTCCATTTTCATCTACTGGTTCGACGCCGAGAGATTGTGCAGGAGGACCATCCATTAATATGTCTAAATTATATAAAGTATAGATGTTTCTGTTTAAAAAATTTCACATGATTAATTTATGTCATAATCAAATAAAATTAATTTAAAATAACCAATTTTTAATACCTTCTTTTACAGCATCAAATATAGTTACGAACTCATCATTGACTAAAATAATATCGGCCGCTTCTTGGGAGACCTCGGATCCACTTTTACCCATAGATATTCTCGGGAGACATCGGATCTACTCTTACCCATAGATATGCCAATATCGGCAATTTCAATGCTGGTGCATCATTTACTTTAAGAGAAATAACATAACATAAATAAGATATAATTAAGTATACACATTCGAAATGTTAAAAGAATAGTCTACAACCGTCTCCTGTCATTGCTACAATTGAACCATTTGATTGAAAGGCTTGTATTATAGCCATTTTATTTTTTTTGAGCTGTTCTTGCAAACATAATTATTGAGCCAATAACTGACTTTAAATCTTCACCCGATATAGCTTCAATAATTGCACCAATTAGACAATTAGGATGATTTGCTGGATTTATTGGTATACCTAACTTTCGTGCAATCGAAAGTGCCGTTGACCTAATATAAAACAATGTTATGTAAATAAATAAAAAATAAATAAAAAGTTAGAAAAGAGAACATCTAAAAAATGGTTAATTACCGGAATCTCCTGTTATCATGACTACTTTGACACCATCACCAATCAACTTCTTTATAGCCTTCTCAACTCCTATATACGTACACATTATTTAAAAATCATATATTATATATATAATAATATATAATAATAATATATAATAATAATATATAATAATAATATATAATAATAATATATAATAATAATATATAATAATAATATAT